CCAGAAAACAGACGAACGTAAATACGGTTGATTTGTTTATGAAAATAATCACTTCGCTGTCAAAAGATTGCCGTTTGTTTTAACAACATATTTGCCTTTCAGATTAGCACTAATCAAAGCCCAACACACCAACCGCCCTTTTTGCAAAACACTTTTTAGTTTATTTATTAAGATTTAGATCCTGTCCTTCCACCCTCGGGTTTTCAGTATGGTTTCCAAAATTAAAATAATATTAAAGCATTAAATTATTACCAAAATATGAACATGCTGATGATTTCGGAAACATTTTAAGTCAAATGTTAGTGAGCTACTCAAGTTTTGGGGAATGCCAGGGTATTTAGACTTTTCTAAAAATCCAAGAGGAGAAATTTCTTTCTCACAGAAATTGGATTTTTTTTTTTAAAAAAAACCTGCTATTGATGGATAGATAAACTTGTACAGCCAGGGCCATCAAAACGCCTTCCCAGCTGTCATGTGCTTGTTACTGGGTCAGAAATCCAGATTTAAAGCTATGTAGGATTATGTAGGATGGAGCACCAGCACTTTAAAATGGGCTGGGTGTATCTTGAGTGCGGACAGAGTATATGAGTAGTAGGAATGTTGCACCTCTTCCACAAACTATACTGTTTTTATTTTATTGCAGTAACGCAGGGGTCCCCAAACTTGGCAACTTTAAGACTTGTGGACTTCAACTCCTAGAATTCTCCAGCTGGCTGGAGAATTTTGGGAGTTGAAGCCCACAAGTCTTAAAGTTGCCAAATTTGAAGACCTCTGCTGTCATGTAAAAGAAAAAAGGAGAGGGGAATAAAAACATACAGCACACAGAAAATGATTTCTTCCTCCAAATAACCAAAGTAGAGTGAGAGAGAGAAGAAAAACTTAAGAAAACAGAATACAGATATAAATGACAAAAGATATGTAAAACTGGTTAAGTTCTTAAATGACAAATTACACCTTGCCCACATGGAATCATATTGATCAATCTCTCCATTAGAATGACAGACGGACAGTTCAAAGCGGGAGAGCATTTCTGAAATCTAGGCTTTTAAGTCTAGAGTAATCATTTCTGTCCTAAAAGCCCATACACCACTGTGGCCATTCTAGTTTTTTTTTTTTTTTTTTTTTTTTCCAAATGGTCTTCAAGGGCAAGATCCACACAGCATGCATTGCAGTAATCCAATCAAAAGGTTACCGGAGCATGTACTGCTGAGATCAGGCTATCTCTAGCTAAAAATGGTTTTACAAAACCGTCTTGGAACTGCTCAGTGTTGTAAACAGGAGATAGGGGTGTTGAGGGAAGGCTGTTCAGTTTAATCGTAGATGGTCTTTTTGACCCCTCTTTCAAACTAGTGGCCCCTCTGTCCAAAATGTGGACTTCTCTGTTCCAAAAAGATTCCACACCCATTTGCACTCCGATTCAGGTGACCATGAGGGCACATGATAAACACCCAAGTGGCCTCAATGACTCTCAAAGTGCTAACAGCCAGATTACTGTAAGGAATATAAGCCCTTCGATTCCCTTCCATCATTCAGGCAGAACTAAAGACGCTTCTTGGATGAGAAGTGGAACATCTTCAAGGAAAAAACAAAAAACAAAGAGAGTCCCGTTATGTTCTGAAACCACCTTTGGGACAAGTTGACTCATCAATTGATGTTATGCATAAGTGCTGCCGGTCACTAGAGCCACAAATGTCACAGGCATCCAATTTTGTATCTGGTTTGTAAGGGGAATATCACCCCATACGGCATTGGTTTAATCTCAGTTCCAGATCTCACGAGAGTATCTTCTTGGGATTCAGTCTAAAACCTCATCTACATTGCCACAACCTGTAAGCACTAATCCAGTAGTTCGATTGCCTCTTCCTATTCGGTGAAAAAAAGGAAACAAACTTGACTCTTGCCTGTATTTGATAATGTATCAGGCCAAACTTCCAAATGATGTCTACCAAAAGCTTCAAAAAGATATTCAATAGCATCAGATACCAGAGTGAACCTTCTGGAACCTTAAAGGCTGCCACGATGGATGAAAAAAAGTTTCCCAATATTGTAAAGGTAAAGGTAAAGGTTCCCCTCACACACAAGTGCTAGTTGTGCTCGACTCTAGGGGGCAGTGCTCATCTCCCTTTCAAAGCCGAAGAGCCAGCGCTGTTCAAAGACGTCTCCGTGATCATGTGGTCGGCATGACTCAAAGCCGAAGGTGTACAGAACACTGTTACCTTCCCACCAAAGGTAGTTCCTATTTTTTCTACTTGCATTTGTACGTGTTTTCGAACTGCTAGGTTGGCAGAAGCTACTCCATTACGTAGGGATTCGAACCGGCAAACTGCCGACCTTTCTGATCGACATGCTCAGCGTCTTAGCCACTGAGCCACCACATCCCTGTCCCAGTAGTGTAGGTAGGTATAAAACCACTGTAACACAGTGTCCACCGTAAAGACAATCAATAAGATGCCACAGTCCACAATATCAAAAATTGCTGAGAGATCAAGAAGGATCAATGAGTTAGCATTCTTCTTATGGTACATCTTCTCTGAATAGGTTGATATGATCTCCTTTTTCTGTGTTTTAGATGCGAACCACACCATTTTTTTTTTGTAATTATAGGGAAAAATGTGATATCTCCCAGATCTGTTTTAATTTTGGCATCAAGAGTGATACAGGTTTCAGCAACGTTGCCTATAAAAGGCATCATAAACTCACTGCATTGCTTCTCTGAGTTGGGGCCCAAACTGTCTGTCACATCGACCTCAGCCAGATTCCTAATTATTCTGAAAAATTCTGATGCATGGTTCATTTTGGATGCAATAGTGAAGGAAGAGTCACTTTCTTCTCAATAATTACAAAAAAATGGTGTCATTGGCATCTGAAACACAGAGAAAAGTCCAGGTTTGTCACAGGGTCCCCAGTATAGCTGCTGAAGTTCCCCAAAATCACAGTCTTGGGATTCTCCACTACGAATAGTTCATTTCAACCAGCTCAGAGAAGATGTTGGACAATAGAATGGATAGCACACCCTTATTCAAGTAATCACATCCGGAATGCAATGTCTTGTTTTCTGGTATGGGAAATGAATTCCCAAAGTAATGATTGCAACATTAACCCTTCATGGTCCTCCAAACTCCAGCTCATTGGTGGACACAAAGGTGACTCTTCAGTCTCAGCAGGAACTACAAAATCAAACACAATGGGACCATTGGAAATCCATTGTGGTAATAAATGTGGATGTAAGAGCTCAGGTGATGCAGTGGTTAGAGTTCAGTATTGCAGGCTACTTCTGCTGATCACCGGCTACCTGCAGTTTGCCAGATCGAAACTCAACAGGCTCAAGGTTGACTCGGTCTTCCATCCTTCCGAGGTCAGTAAAATGAGGACCCANATGGAAGGCTGAGTCAACCCTGAGCCGGTGAGATTTGAACCGCTGACCTGCTGATCTAGCAGTAGCCTGCAGTGCTGCATTTAACCACTGTGCCACCTTGGTAACGGCTTCACAATACTCCACAAGTACTGTGTAAGTACTGGTAAGGGGAAAAATCCAACATTAGAAATTACATTTTCCTCTTATAAATAAATACCTGGGCAATGCCGGGTTATCGGCTAGTTATATATATATAAAATTTATTAATCCTTGACCATTTATTTAGTCTAAATTCAAAGTAACAATGGCACTGAAAAAAGTAACCACCCTAGCATCCCCAGGATCACATTATCAGAATTCAGGTGCTTAGCAACCAGCATTTATTTATGACCATTGTAGTATCTTGAAACTATGTCATCACCATTTGTGATCTTCCTAGTGGACTTTTGACAAGCAAAGTCAAAGGGGGTGGGGGGCGGGGGAAGCTGGATTTGCTTAATGACCATGCGAGTCATTTATCAACAGCAGTGATTTGCTTAACAATTGTGGCAAAAAAGGCCATAAAATCGGGAATGACTCACTTAAAGAACCTCTTGCTTAGCAATTGAAATTCTGGTACCAATTGTGGTTGTAAGTCAAAGACTATCCGTATTTGGAAAATAAAGGGCAAAGAGGTACCAGTGGTGGCAGAAAATCTCCAGTGGTGGGGTTCCAAATCTTTTCCTACCGGTTCTATGAGAGGGCACTTTGTGTGTTTGCGCATGCATGCCACAAAGACCGCTCCTGGTGTCAGCACTGATGAGCTGTGTTTTAGCTCAGCTGAAGCACAGCAAATCTGCTGTGCCGCACCAATCAGCTGAGTGAAAAACAAGGGAATATAGGACAGGAAATGACGAGGGAGGGAGGGCTGGGCCAATCAGAGGTGATATTTACCGGTTCTCCAAACTATTCAAAATTTCTGCTACCAGTTCGCCTGAACTGGTCCGAACCGGCTGAATGCCACCTCTGGATGTGACCCCTAAGCTGAGAGAAGATTCAACAGATCCCACAAACAGTATCACAGCTCTCTGTCCAGAAGAGTTCAGTGGTAGCTGCAGCTAAAGAATGCTCAAACTCCCAGACCTCCGACAGGTGGCCCAAATTGTGGAAGACACATACCACACATTGGCATGAGAAGATAATTCATAGCATAGCATAGCATTAGTATAGTATTATGCTATTAATATAGTACTAGTATCGTTAGAATTAGTATATTAGTCTAGTATAAATACACTATAGTATCCGTAGTATTAATATTAGTATAGTTAGAATATAGCATAGTATAGTATTAGTGTAGTAGCAATGCAGTATTAGTAGTTAAAATTAGTATAATATTAATACAGTATAAATATAGTCTAGTATTAGTCTAGTTAGAATTATAATAGTATTAGTATTAGTAAGTATTAGTATAGTATAGCATTACACTGCAATACAATACAATGCACTATACTGCAATGCATTGACTGCACTACACCGAATTGTTTTATTATATTGCTTTCCTTTCTAGTTGAATTGGGCCATATTCCATATATTATAAATATATGACTTAATCAACCTTTAGTGCAACAGTTGTATTAAAGTGGAGGAAAGGAAGAAAATAACTTACAGGTGTGCCTTGCCAAGGAATAGTTGGATCCCCCACTTGTTGAGCCGAAACCTTCTGGAATTTGACTAGAACTGCGTGGTCTTGTTAACAACTTCGGAGGTTCTATTTCTGCTCCAAACTCTGCTCCAATTACTCCCAGCAGAACGATGGCGGTAGCTTGCTTCCGTCTCTCTTCATATGACAGAGATATTTTTTTAATTTGTGGAAGTCCAGACAGCGTACCTGTAATACAAATGCATAAGGACAACAATGATTAAACAGCTATTTGCTTCATTAGAACTGACAGGTAGTCCCTGACTTATGACATTTCCATTGCTAAGCAAGATACCGTATTTTTCGGAGTGTAAGACGGACCTTTTCCCCTCAAAAAAGAGTTGAAAATCTGGGTGTGTCTTATATACTGAATACAGCATTTTTTGCCTCCCCCCGCCCCCTTCGCCAAAATAGCCATGTAGAGCCTGCAGAAGGCTTTCATAGAGCTCCTGGGAGATGGAGAAGGCAGAAATGAGTGAAAAATGGGCCGTTCTTTGCTCAATTTTGCCCCCATGGCCCCAGGAGTACTTTATAAGCCTCCTAAAGGTTATACATGCATTTTTTCCCAAAAAAACGGGGCTGTTTTTTGCAAAAAATGGGCTGTTTTTTGCTTGTTTTGGGGGGCCCCTAACCCGCCAGGAGCACTCTGCAAGCCCCCTAAAGGCTATTCATGCCTTTTTGGGGGGGAGGGAAATGGGCCCGTTTTTGCGAAAAATGAGCCATTTTGGGGAGGTTTACAGAGTGCAAAAATCTTTTCTTTAAAAAATTGCCTCTTCAAAACCTTATACTCTGGTGCTTCTTATACTCCGAAAAATACGGTAGTTGTTAAGTGAGTTTTGTTTCATTTTACAACCTTTCTTGCCAGTGAATCAGTGCAGTGGACAAGTTAATAACAGGGTTGTTAAGTGAATTTGGCTTCCCCACTGATTTTGCTTGTCGCAAAAGGGGATTCCATGATCTTGGGATACTGCAACTGTCATCAATAATAGCCAATTGCCAAGCGTCTGAATTTTGATCACATGACCATGGCGATGCTGCAACGGTCGTAAGTGTGAAAAATGGTCAGAAGTCCCTTTTTTTCAGTGCCACTGTAACTTTGAACGATCACTAAATAAACTGTTGTGAGTCATGAACTACCTGTATATGTGGATGATACTACAACTTAAGCACAAATTACTTTCCAGTTACCCAAAGTAATTACCAAGGTATGTGTGGAGGTAAGGGGAGAGAAGACAAAGAGATTGCTTCAGGAATTAAACCAGCAGAGTATAACATGTAGACAATGGGCAGTCTCTTGCTGCCTTAGAATCATACTCAAGATCTTGTGAGAATGAAGACTGCAGTGGAAAGAGTTGTATCTAATGTTTTATGATGAATGTAATTTTTACAATGACTATGATAATGACCTATTACTATAGTTGTATGTACACTGAGAGCTTATGCACTGGAGACAAATTCCTTGTGTGTTTAATCTTGTGGTGCAACCAGAACAATCTTGAACTAAATACACTCAAAACTGTAGAAATGGTTGTGGGGTTTAGAAGAAAACTTCCTATACTACCACCTCTTACAATACTAGACAACACAGTATCGACTGTAGACACCTTCAAGTTTCTATGTTCTATCATATCTCAAGACTTAAAATGGACACCTAACACCAAAGACGTCATCAAAAAAGCACAACAAAGAATGTTCTTTCTGCACCAACTCAGAAAGCTCAAACTGCCCAAGGAGCTGTTGATTCAGTCTATATGGGAATTATTAAGTCTGCCATCTGCACCTCTATACAATGGAACCTCGGGTCCCGAATGGCTCAGACCACGAACAATTCGGATGCCAACCAAAAAAATCTGCTAAATGTTTCACTCCCGTCACAAACACATCCTCGGATGCTGAATAAACACAGCCGTGGCAATTTCTCTTTCCATGCCATTTTGTGTGTGTGCGCGGATGCGCAGTCAGTCTTGCTTTTGGTCATGATCAAATTGGGTGCTGACCAAAGTCCTGGAACGGATTACCGCAACCAAACAAGACAGATACGCACTTCAACAGATAATTAGAACTGC